GTGTGTGTGTGCGTTTGTGTGTGCGTTTGTGTGTGTGTATGTGTGTGTGTGTGTTTGTGAGAATGTATGTGCATGTTCGTGTGCATGTGCATGTGTGTGTGTGTGTGATGTGATCATGCATCAGGCCCAGATGCGGGTGAATGAGCAGAGCGGATCTCAGGGACATTGAAAAACTGGATCCGTGCTGCTCAGCCGGCAACACTGCGTGTCAAGGAGGCCGTCCAGCATGCACCATGGGTGCGCCGACCCGCACGCCAATCCATGCAGTGGCACGGTCGTCCCCGCTGCAGAATGCTGAATGGCACAGGACTTTGTCCGCGCCCTCCTCTGGTCACATTTCCCTGGGAAACGTCACCCAGCAAACCCCGCCACGCGCCATGTGAGGAGCGGCAGTGAGCCCAAACAATCCTCTCGCTGCCATGGCAGCCGCGCTGGCCCCAACGTGCCCCAGCAACCACAATGAAAACCTGCCCGCGACTAAAATCACACCCTGCCGGGGAAGCACCACACAGCACAAGACCCCACCCGAAAGACGTGTCCTGCCTTTCTCATTCCGACCCAGACAGCGGCAGCAACGTCTCAAGACACCATTGGATCACATCAAACCTAGAAGCCCCCCCAAACACACATACACGTGCATATAAACACTCACACTCGCGCACACAAACATCCACAAGCAATCTCCCCCACCCCCAGCCACTCCCTCCGTCACCCGCCTGTGCAGCGCGAGGGCGTGGCCTATGAAGTCCACGGTCTGCGCGTCCAGTCCGTAGTAGGTGTACAGCTCAGCCATGGTCATGGCGCGCAAGTTGAGCCCCTTGTAGGTGGAGGGGTCAGTGTCCTCGTAGCTCTCGACATAGCTGCAGCACGCACATGGGATGGGATGGGACCAAGAAGGGAGGCCAGGCGGGTGGGGCCGCCGTCGGGGTGTGGAGGTGAAGGCATGCAAGGGTTTGCAAATGCTGCTGCTTCTGATGCTGCCACTGCTGCTGCTGCTGCTGCTGCTGCTGCTACTGTTGCTGCTGCTGCTGCTGCTGCTGCCCATGCGACCTCACCCAGACCGCTGCATGCCCCGCTCCACCTGCCGCCGCCGCCGCCGCCACCGCCGCCACGGCTCCCCAGAACCGCCCTGGTCTCCCACCACCGCCCAGCCCTGCACCCCTTGCCCTGCAGCCGCCACCGCACAC